ACAAATGTCTAAGGCCAATGATCTAAACTCAGTTTATACACTGCTCCTTGAGACTGCTAGTTGTTTCTTGCTTCTCCATGTCACAAGATTTCCCCAAACATAGGCACAATAACCGGTTGTTGATTTCATGTGTCTTACATCTCCTACCCAATTCGCATCTAAGTAGACTTCAATATCCCGGTTTCCTGTCTTTTTGTAAAGTATACCTTTTCCTGGAGTCATTTTGAGATACCTCAGAATTCTCTACACAGCTTCCATGTGTTCTTCTGTAGGGTTGTGCATGAACTAACTCATCACACTGACTGGAAAACCAATATCAAGTCTTGTGTGTGAGAGGTAGATAAGTCGCCCTACAAGTCTTTGGTACCTTCCTCTGTCAACTGGTGCAGAATCTCTTCCAGCTCCTATATTCTTAGTTGGATCCATCGGTGTGTCAACAAGTTTGCATCCACGCATGCCAGTTTCCTTTAGTAAATCCAGGACATACTTTCGTTGAGAGACAAAAATTCCTTTCTTGGATCGAGCTACCTCCATTCTAAGAAAAGAAAATATCTGAGGTTGCCAAGGTCTTTAATTTCAAATTCCTTGGCTAGGACTGATTTCAATCTCAATAATTCCTCCTCAAAGTCACCGGTTAGAATGATGTCATCAACGTATACAATTAAGACCACTACTTTCTTTTCTAAAGAGAACTTCACAAACAGTGTGTGGTCTGCTTGACACTGAATGTATCCATATTTCACCACCGACTTTGCAAACCTGTCAAACCATGCACGAGGAGATTGTTTGAGTCCATACAAAGACTTCTTGAGTTTGCATACCTTGTTTTTCAAGGTAGTTTCCGGTCCTGCATGTATTTCCATGTACACATCTTCTTCAAGATTACCATTCAGGAAAGCATTCTTGACATCTAATTGGTGCAAGGGCCAGTCTTTGTTTCCTGCAAAGGAAAGAAGGACTCTGATAGTATTTAGCTTAGCCACTGGAGCAAATGTTTCTTGATAATCTACTCCATAAGACTGAGTGAACCCTTTTGCAACTAGTCGAGCTTTTAGTCTCTCAATACTTCCATCTGCCTTATGCTTGATGGAAGATCCACTTACATCCGACAGTCTTCTTATTTGGGGGAAGATCTGTTAACACCCACGTGCCATTTTTATCCAATGCTTGGATTTCTTTGTTAACTGCCTTCCTCCATTCTGAGTTTTTGAGTGCCTCCTGAATAGAATTGGGAACCTGCACACTATCAAGGGTAGACACAAAGGTCTGATAAGATGGTGACAATTTTTCATATGAGACAAATCGGCAGATAGGATGATTTGTACATGTTCTGACACCTTTCCTTAAGGCAATTGGAATATCTAAATCATCCATAGCATGTGTTGTATCTTCAAGGACCGAATTTTCCTTACTTGAGTGAATTTGTGTAGTCATTGAATCCGGATCAGCTTCATGGTCTAGTACGAGAGGTATTGTGTCTTCTATCTCCTTTCCAGACTTCTTCCTCCTGTAATAAACAATCAACTCTTTGTTCTTGTTATTTACTCTGTTGAGGATGAGGAGATGGACTAGGATTGTATGGACTATGACTGTTTCGGACAAAAGAGAGGTTTGTTGTGTGAGGATGACTCTCAGTTTGAATGAAAGAATCAGCTTGAGAAGGATAAACCGGAGTAGAAGAAGGTGAAGGATGAGATGAAGTAGAAGAAGGTGAAGGATGCTGAAATTCAAGATCCCAAAGCTAAAATTCTCTCATACCCTCCCCTTGAATTGTAGGTTTGGTAAAGAACGATTGGTGTTCAAAAAATGTCACATCCATTGAGTTATAAAACCTCTTTGTTGTGGGAGAGTAACATTTATATCCTTTTTGATGTGGTGAGTAGCCAAGAAAAACACATTTGATGGATTTAAGATCTAGCTTCCCACGATGTTGAGAGTGTATATGGACAAAAGCATAAAATCCAAATATCTTAGGATCTAATGATGAGATGAATTTGGTGTGTGGAAAATGTTGAAGAACAACTTTGGCTAGAGTTTGGAATTTAAGCACTTTGGAGGGCATCCGGTTAATGAGGTATGTGGCTGTGAGTATGGCTTCTCACCAGAAATGTTTAGGAACATGAGTAGTGAACATGAGTGATCGGGCCACCTCTAAAAAGTGTCTGTTTTTCCTCTCTACAACTCCATTTTGTTGTGGGGTGTCAACACAAGAACTTAGGTGAATAATCCCTTGACTCATGAGATAGGTACCTAGAACTGATTCAAAGTATTTTTTGACATTGTCATTTTTAAGGACTTAGGATCTTGGTTTGAAACTGTGTCCGTATCATAGAATTGAAGTTTTGAAAAATTTGTCCAACTTCAAACTTTTCTTTTATAAGAAACACCCATGTTAAGCGAGTATGATCATCAACAAAGGATAAAAACCATCGGGTTCCCGTGATATTTTTTACTCTTGAGGGTCCCCATACATCACTATGAATTAAAGTAAAGGGACGGGATGGTTTGTATGAAGAACTAGGATAGCTACTACGAGTGTGTTTAAAGCTGGCAAACTTCACAATTAAAAAACTTTAGACTTTTATTGATAAATAATGATGGAAACAAAATTTTAAAATATATAAAATTAGGATGACCAAGGCGATAATGCCATAACATAACTTCACTATCTTTATTGACACAAGTGTTTAAACATGACTGACTCTTGAATGATCCACCACTTGAAGGAATATTGTCCTTGAGGAGATAGAGTCTAGAACACTCATCAGCACTGCCAATCGCCTTCCCCGAATCCAATTCATGAAATTCACAATGGTTTGGAAAAAATTTAGTTGCACAGTTGAGATCACGAGTTAATTTACTTATGGAGAGTAAATTGCAGTCCAAATTAGGCACATGAAGAACCGAATGAAGGGTTATATCCTTAGTAATTCTTACTAAACCTGTTCCCTTAACCCTGGATAAAGAACCATCTGCTATTCGGAAAGTATGGTTCTCGAGACTTGGACTGTACTCGTGAAATATGGTGGCATCTCCCATCATATAATCCGAAGCTCCTGAGTCAACAATCCAAGGACTTGTATGACATTTATTAACCGCAAAGGCATTGGAAAGATTACTTTTATGTGCTAACATGATAGAGCCAGCGGCATTATTGGCTGTTTGAGTCACGACATTCTGGCTTAACAGCTTCTGGAGTACCTCAAGTTGTTCTTTAGTGAAAGGGCTATTCTCAGTTTGTGAAGTAGGAGTTGTACGGCTTTCCTTGTCATCTACGGTGGCAGCAATGTTGAGTCTTACCTTTTCGATCATTATTTGATCGTGATGGCTTCCAATCAGCCGGTTTACCATGGATCTTCCAGCGAGTCTCCCGAGTATGTCCTGGTTTGAGACAGTGATCACATCATGGTCTTCCTTTCCTCTGCCTGTTGTCAACAACACTGTTTTGCGATCCTCGAGCGGCCAATGCAGATCCTTCAAGAGTTGGAGTAGAGTTTTGAGGACCCATCATCAACTTCTTTCGACTTTCCTCTCAACGAACCTCTGAGAAAGCCTCCCTTATGCTCGGAAGAGGTTTTGTACCCATTATTCTTTCCTCTAACCTCATCCAAGCTCTTGTTGAGGCCGAGAAGGAATTTGAATGTCCTGTTTTGCTCAACAATTTTCCGGTATAGTTTTGTGTCTTCTATACACTTCCATGGATAAACTTCAAACATATCTAGATGTTGCCAATGGCGAGTGAGAGTATTATAGTATTGTGTGACCGTGAGATCCCCTTGACGTAGATCATGGAGTGTAGCCTCAACCTCAAACAATTCCAAGGTATTTTCCGAACTAGAGTAGGTTTCCCGTACTGCATCCCATATTTCCTTTGTTGTTCCATATAGGAGAAAGTTTTCCCCCATTTCGGTATTCATAGAATTGATTAGCCATGACATGATCATGTGATTCTCCGTCTTCCATGTTCTATACTTTGGATCTCTCTTTTCTAGAATTGTGATCTCATCGGTTAGATATTCATCTTTGCCTTTACCACAAATGAACATCGTCACCGATTGGGACCATTGCAGGTAGTTGTGACCATTTAGCTTATGCCCTGTGATGAGAATTGAGGAATTTTCTGAGCCTACATGAGAATTAACTGCGGATGAAACTTCAGCGCTGGAATTGACTTCCGAAGTTGAGGTAGACTTCTCTGTTGCCATGCCGTATTTGGTCATTCAGAGATAGTGTCAAACACTGCTTCAGAGATGGTGAGGGGTGCTTGAACAGAAGAACAATAGCAGCTTGAGAAAAGAATAGACACCTAATAAGATTGTGAGAATATGGGAAGAAAAGAAGGAACCTTGCCGTGAGAATAAGGCCTGTGAATGGCAGTCAACCCTGCCGTGGGAATGAGGCCGGAGAATGGCAGTATGGTTCGAAGAAATTCCCATAGATATGAGCCTAAGGCTCTGATCGCATGTAGGAGATAAGAATGATTATTATGATTGTCAATTACTCTTGAAAACAGCGATACATATATACAATAGGAGAACCTTTGACTAATCCTAGATTGAAACTAAATAAGGAAACAATCTCACTAAACTAAGAAAAAATAAAACTAGAATCTTGTATTATTTAACCGGATTCTTCTCCTAATTTATTTACAAGATATCAAGGATTATTCCTAAGAATTCTCCCTAATTGATTCGGGAATTCAACAGTTTTACATAAGCTAAACGGCTAATCCAGTAAGACATATTGCTCTCATATTTTGTAAGATGATACATTCCCAAGACACTTTTCCATGACCATTTTCAAAAGATTTTACAAGAATTAGACAGATTGTGTTAGGACCATCATATGGTGGTTCCAAATTTTCCTGTGAATTATCATTCCAAGACGAAGAATTTTGATCACAGTAACAACTACGAGTTCTTATGAAAATACAACAACTATGAAATAATTTATTTAAGCGTGAATTTACTTATGCTGGTTCCAAGTATGAGTTGATTTACCTATGGAAATGGCAGCCATCAATTCTAATAACAATCCAAGTAGATGGCAACAACTTCGCTTCAAACTGGAATGACCTAATATAATCTGGTTCAACCTTTCCAACGTCATCCACAAAACTACCGAGCTCCTTCAGAAGATCAACATGCTCATTCCAAAAGCTTTTGCCAGCTATATTCTTTGAGTGAACGATTCCTGCCTTTCTCCTAAGTCTCTTAACCGGAGCTCCATTTTCGTCATACTTCACAATGTCTTCCACCTAAACAACGTAGGAGGAACATCTCAGCACGAAAATCTGAATACATAAGGAATGTAAGGGGGTTCCCACTGTAAAAACCAATAAACCAATACAAAACTTGCTAAGAAAAAAGACATGACAAAGAACTATTTAATGAAAATGAAAGTTCCTAAAGAAGACAAATCAAAACATAAAAAGGACATTAACATAATAATTTTGTAAAGAGAATAACCTTAGTTTTCAATATGGCAGATCCTTGACGGACAATAACAGGTAATTTTTCATAGTTGATACCAAACTGTTCAAAGAGGAGGTCATGTTTCTCCCTTTTCCGGGTCCCCTGAAAGCATAAATAAAAATGAACGTTCTGCGTAAAAACATTATCCATGGCAGATTTGGAAAGTCAAGTTACTTTGAGCATAGAATCTTGGAGAGAGAGTTTTGAGAGAAGAAAAAGAGAGATATAAAGAAATGTACAAAAGGGTTTTTTATCTACATACAACCCTAAAGGTTACTGACACAAATAATAATGGGAATAATTGTGTTATTTACTCTTGATGTTACACGGCTATATATAGGGATTTACAATAGAAAAGAATGGAAACAGAATCAAAAAAAAATCAGGGAACTAAATCAGGAAAGTTGACTAACTAAATCCCTCAATTTCAGGGATTTCAACTAATCTTCCTATTCTAATATCTACACTTCGACACTCCCCCTCAAGCTGAGGAATAGATGTCTTCCATTCCCAGCTTGAATACCAGATCATGAAAACTTGAACTGTTCAGGCCTTTTGTTAGAACATCTGCTAGTTGACGTTCTGATGAAACATAGCTCATGCACACTAATCCTTCCTCCAAATTTTTCTTAATGAAATGCCTATCAATTTCAATATGCTTTGTCCAATCATGTTGAATAGGATTATGAGCAATATTGATGGCAGACTTGTTGTCACAATAGAGCTTCATAGGACCTTCCCATTTGACTCGCAAATCATCCAGAATAATCTTCAACCATAGAAGTTCACACAATCCCTGAGCGATAGCCCTAAACTCTGATTCTGCAGATGACCTTGCCACCACGTTTTGCTTCTTGCTTCTCCACGTCACTAGGTTACTGATAAGATCAAGGTATCTAATTCACGAAGATTAATTCCAAAAAACAAAAGAAAGAATCTTTATTGAATATTCACAAGAATTACACTCAAACGGTTTCTTAGAAACCAAACGGATTCCCCTGCTCAGCAAAATGCCAAGACTTCCTATGCCTTACTCCAATTCTTGCCTACCTGGCCATCCAGCCTGTCTTGCTATTTATTACTATTCCCTTATTAACTATGTTCCCCTGTTCCCGCTCACATAATAGCCCCCGTAGGTCTATTTACAAAATAACCCCCGCAGGCCTACACAAAAACACACTACACACACTCAGATCCCCGACTACTACCCCCCACCCTTTCTTACATAGACCTGCCTAAGCAAAGGCTTATCAACTACTCCGCCCCCCAAAAAAGTCACCTTGTCCTCAAGGTGAAATTCAGGGAACTGCTGTTGAATGATATCAAAGAGCTCCCAAGAGGACTCAAAATCCGGTAGATGACGCCACTGAAGTAGAACCTCCAATTGGCCTGTAACCTTCGAAAAACGAGTGGCCAGTAACCTCTCGGGCCCTTAACTCCAAATCTGATGCCAAAACTGGCGGAACCTCCTAAGCCAGAATAGGCACGCCAAGAGCTTTCTTAAGCTGAGAGACATGGAAGACCGGATGAATTTTGGCGGCCGCAAGCCATCGAACGAAGGCAATAGAGCCTGATTTTCAGGAACACCAAATCCCCCACGTCAAACGAAACATCCCGACGCTTGAGATCTGCAGTCCTTTTCATTGAATGCTGCGCCTGAAGCAAATGGCCTCGTAGCTCCTCCAAAATAGCATCCCTAGCCTGCAATTGCTCCTCCAACAAGTTGTTAGCCGTGGAACCCAACTCAAGACGCAGTAGCCTAGGAGGATTGCGACCATATAGTGCTCGGAAAGGAGTCATTCCCGCGGACACATGGAAGCTTGTGTTATACCAATATTCGGCCCAGGCTAAATGCGGAAACCATTGAGTAGGCTTCCCGGAAACAAAACACCGTAAATAAGCCTCTAAACACCGATTCACCACCTCCGTTTGGCCATCTGATTGAGGGTGGTAAGCTGTACTATGATGAAGAGAAGTGCCCTGCAACGTAAAAAGCTCCTTCCAAAAGTGGCTGAGGAACACCTTGTCGCGGTCGGACACGATAGTCCGAGGGAAGCCATGTAGCCAAACTACCTCTTTAACAAACAGGGCAACCACCAATTTTGCAGAAAAATGATGGCGAAGTCCCAAGAAATGAGCATACTTACTTAACCGATCAACCACCACAAGGATTGAGTCATTTCCCCCTGATTTTGGCAGGCCTTCCACAAAATCCATTGAAATCTCGTCCCAAACCAAGTTCGGCAAAGGCAATGGCTGTAATAACCCAGCCGGAGATAAGGTCGACGCCTTGTGCTGTTGACATACTTGACAAGCGGTCACAAAGGAATTCACATCCTGCTTCATGCCATACCAAAAGAATTCGGAAGACAATCGTTTATAAGTATTCAATACTCCCGAATGTCCTCCAACCTTACTGTCATGGAATTCGCGCAAAAGGATGCGTATGAGAGGAGACAGCCGGGGCAAGACCACCTGCCCTTTACACAGCAACAAGTCGTTGCATAAAGAAAACCCTTTCACTCCCTTCGGGCTGCCCCGCAACTCCTTCAAAATTCCTGCCAGTTTCGGATCACTCAACAGTTGCTGCCGAATTTCAGCCCCATCATACAGCGCAGAAGTGGTGATGTGCATCAACTCTATCCCCGAAGTCCGCCTAGACAATGCATCAGCCACGCAGTTCTCAGACCCCGGTTTGTACTGGATCTTAAAATCATAACCCAACAGTTTGCATAACCACTTTTGGTGCTCCTCCCCCACTAATCTTTGTTCCAACAAGAATTTTAAACTTTTCTGATCAGTGCGAACAATGAAATGCCGCCCAAGGAGGTAATGACGCCATTTCTGGATGGCCAACACCACAGCCATCAACTCGCGCTCATACACAGACTTGGCCCTAGCCCGCGGAGACAACACCTGGCTAAAGTAAGCTATGGGCCCCTGCTGTTGCATTAGAACCGCACCAATCCCAAAACCGGAAGCATCGGATTCTACCACAAATGGTTGTGAGAAATCCGGCAATGCTAAAACTGGGACTGTAGTCATGGCCTGTTTCAATCTTCCGAAAGCAACCTCCGCTTCTTCATTCCAATTGAAACTGTCCTTCTTCAATTGTTGTGTTAAAGGCCATGAGAGGTGACCATATCCCGTCACAAAGCGGCGGTAATAACCGGTCAAGCCCAAAAATCCCCGCAACTCCTTGATAGAGCGGGGAGTAAGCCAATCCAACATAGCTTGAATCTTATTGGAATCGGCCGAAACCCCCTCACCGGAGACGATGTAACCCAAATACTCTAATTGACTTTGGCCAAAAGTACATTTCTTTTGATTGACAATTAATTGGTTATCATCTAAGGCGGTCAACACCACTTCCAAATGACCCACATGTTCCTCTAAGGATTTACTGTAAACCAAGATATCATAAAAAAAAACTAAAACAAACTTCCGTAAAAAAGGTTTAAGTAACTCGTTCATCAATGATTGGAAGGTGGCCGGGGCATTAGTTAACCCAAAGGGCATAACCAAGAATTCGTAGTGGCCCTTATGAGTGCGAAAAGCTGTCTTAGGAACATCCTCCATGCACATCCGAATTTGATGATATCCCGATTTCAAATCCAATTTGGTAAAGATTGTAGCCCCAAACAATTCATCCAACAACTCCTCAATCACCGGTATAGGAAACTTATCCGGCACCATAGCTTTGTTGAGAGCTCGGTAATCAATGCAAAAACGCCAACTCCCATCTTTTTTCTTTACGAGAAGCACCGGGCTAGAAAATGGACTATTGCTTGGTTGTATGATCCCAGCCGCAAGCATCTCCCGTACCAATTTTTCAATCTCATTTTTCTGAAAATGAGAGTACTTGTAAGGTCTAACACTAATGGGAGAGGTACCCGGTTGTAAAATAATTCGGTGATCACGCAATCGGTGAGGAGGGAGTCCATCCGGCATGTTCAAAACACGTGGATGAAGCTGCAATAAAGCACTGATCTGGGCAGGAAGTGGCTGGTCCTGTTTGTTCTCCACATCCAACGTGTGTAACTCCAAGTAGATGCCTTCTCCCTCATGTCTAATGGTCCTAAACATTGCTTTAAGAGAAACCATAGTAGTGGAGAGACTCATGTCCCCTCGCAATGTAACAACCTCTCCCCTAATCCGAAACTTCATTAACTGAGACTTCCAATTCACGTGCATACCTCCCAAAGTTTCTAACCACTGCATGCCTAGGATAACATCCCCCCCCCCCCCCACGAAACCCCCCCCCCCCCCCCCCAAATTCCAATGGCAAAAAATTTTCTATAATGGTTAGTTGCGGTTTTTCCATTAAACCGGTATGACATCCTAATATTCTGCAGATCTCCAGTTTTCTGGGCGGCAGAAGCATCCTCGGATGAAGGGGTGCTGGTGGACTTGACTTTGGTGGTGGACATGATGAAGGAACGGAAAAAGAAAACTAAGGACTCGTTCATTTCACCGATTCGAATTTTTAGTTTTAGGTTTCTACAGTAAAAAGCTCTCAGAAAATGTCACATCTAACTTTTTCTGCTACAGTGAAAAGCTCTCATAAAATGTCACATCTCAGCTCGAATTGAAAACTCGAATCCGCGAAATGAACGAGGCCTAAGAAGATGGATCGGCAGTGATGAAGATGACTCTAGGTTGCACTCTCAGCAAACCCTAGCAAAGAAAGACGGCAAACCCTAGAAGAGGAAGAATAACCGGCGGCAATAAAGGCACACCAGAAGGAATGGCAATGAAGGCCTGAAAAACGGAAATTCCCAAAAAAAAAAAGCCCTAGGGCTCTGATACCATGACACAAATAATGATGGGAATAATTGTGTTATTTACTCTTGATGTTACACGGCTATATATAGGGATTTACAAGAGAAAAGAATGGAAACATAATCAAATAAAATTAGGGAACTAAATCAAGAAAGTTGACTAACTAAATCCCTTAATTTCAGGGATTTCAACTAATCCTCCTATTTTAATATCTACACTTCGACAGTTACAGTATAAATATATGTGTGTGTGTGTGTGTGTGTGTGTGTGTGTGTGTGTGTGTGTATTTGCTAAGAAAATAAATATTCAACTACTCTCAAGGGGTAAAAGACAAAATTAAAGAGAAGAAAGCCTAGGATGAAAGGAAATTCGCCAAAAACAAAAAACAAAGTATTTTAGGTAGAAGAAACTAAAAATTAAAAGAGACAAATTCTTTCATTAAATAAAACATTCTTGATAAAATAGCCCGTTTCACATAAATACACAAACATGATAAAAGTTGGGGCACAAGTATGTAAGTGAAAGTTAGCACCTTCAAAAACTCTTGTGCTTCTGTCTCAGTCTTTCCATGCTTAACCAGCTCATGTACGCATATGGTATGCTGGTTGTTCATATGACCTATGAAATACAAGATGTGAACAGAAAATTCATCATATATTTGAAACACATTCTATTTGAGTCTTAAAAATTATGCTTCAATTTAGAAGAGAGCAAAACAACAATTTAAAAAAAAATAATAATAAGAAAAAAGAAAAAAATAAGAATCTAAACTGCAAAGTATATAAATTTGTTTAGATGACTTTAGTTTAGCAGTACCAGAAGATCACTTACAATTATTTTGCCTCCACAAAAGATATGCTTGAAGAACTCCTATTGATGCACAGGACATTACCCGAGCACGAAAAGAAGGCGGATATATCAACTCCTTATGAGGGAAGAATTCTTTCCATTTAGTAACATATATGGAAGTGAAAAAGGAAACAAAAAGAGACTGAATTTTGCTGCACAGCCAATTGTCTAGTAAGTTAACAATATCAAGTTTATCCAAAAGAAGAAAACAACGACTTAAGACGATTAGTTCTCAACGAAAATGCACATCCGTTTAATCCAATTATATAAGAACAATAGAATGTTTTTACCATCCTCTCGAACAACAGCCTTAGTATATTTGCAAATTAGAAAAATGGTAAAAAGCTAAGGTGACGTTTGTTTCAAGGGTTCTGTCTAGTTTAGGATCATGATTTTTAGTTCTGTTACAGTGTTTTTCTCTCACAAAAAATTTGAATTTCAAAAATCAGAATCATGAACCATGGTTTTGAACCCATGAACCAAACGTCACCTAAAAGAACTTTTGTCAAAGCTCAATTTGAATGTTCAGAATTAAACCTTGCACGCCTCTGATAGAACCTTGTTGACTTCTTCATAGCAAAACTGCAATGACAAAGAGAAACAATTCCAAATTGAAAACTAATAAAATCAGCAAGTGAAATAAACTACAAGTTCAGTGGGAGACTATATAAAACAAAGAATACCTATACTCATCACTGTATCCATATGCAAAAACTATGTCCGGAAACTCCTCTAACATGGAAGTTGAACACGAGTTCATCAAATTCAGAGCCACCTCATCATTCGGTTTCACAAACTCATGAACTTCAGAAAACCTTCAAAACAGTCGAAATAAAAAGTTTCCTCTGAGTTTATATGTAGCTTATATAGCTACACCAAAAAATAGTGGTTCAAACTCTTTTCTGTTTACAAACCAGAACATTATACGGCTATTCACGTACTCAGGCTTATTCATAGTAATAAATAAAAAGTCTACAGTGGGTAAGAAATTATAACCTACCCATAATATTTTCCTAACCGTCGCTTATTCATCGAGTTTTGTTAAATTATCGTACTTTTTTCCAATCTAATACAATTCAAAGGTGATGTATCAGTTCAAAACTGTGTCCTACTGCATAGATCTCTCCTACATATGCATAAAACTCGCAAAATCTTGTACTGTATTATCACTAGAAAAAGAAAAAAAAAATCCTAAGAGCAACCATGTTGCAAAATATAATAAATATAATTGCTAAGATTACTATTTAAAATTAAATAAAGAATGAAATTGAATCGTGTGGAAGCTTGTTTTACCGTCGGAAATCACGGCCGTCGATTCGCGCAACTATCAGATTGGGAAACATCACCTCATCTTGGACTTCAAACGACTTCACGTACTCGTATTTACTGTTCGCCATTGTCGATTATTTTCCGTCCCTCTATTTCTTCTGGGAGAAAGAATCACGCTGGCGGCCGCCAAACACTTGTGAGCTTCTCCAATGGCGTCCGTTTGCTTATTTCCTATCCGTTCCTATTCTCGATTGTTCGTGCAAATCAAAATGCGTAAAGAATCACATCGGCTTCAACATAGAGACCAAAACATCGAAATTAGTTTAAAAATATCGAATTATACCTAATAGGGGATAGCGATGGTAGCGAATGAAATTCAATCGAATGCCTTAGGAACAGCAACAACAAAACCACAATCACTACAAAAAATTAGACAATATCATCGCCGAGAAGGAAAGACTGAAATTCGATCTTAGTCACTCGGTTTTCCCTCACTTTCTCGGAAAGCAAACAGCTTCTTCTACTTCTTCTTCTTCTCCCATGGCTGAGAGAGAATCTTTAATCAGGGTTTCTCTGAACACCGCTGGGTTTAAGCCTTCCCACGTGACAAATCCTTCGCAAGCGCGAGACACGAATGGGCCAGCTTGACCCAGAAAAATGGCTTTTTAGACATTTTGACAAAATTTAAAATTATTTTATAAGTGTCCTTCTCTTCTCTGGTGCTCCCTTTTATTTTGCCCTACCGGCAGTCGACGGATTAAAATCGAATGGTCTAAAATTCAATGACACATTGTATCAAAAAGGTGGATGCATTATGGGTTTTTAGAACTCAATTAGTTCGTTAATTTAAATTTTTAATTTAAATTGATATATAATTTTATTTAAAAATTTTTTATTATAATAAAAAAATAAAATGTGATTATTTTTAAAAAATTTTATTATAATAAAACTCAAATTAATAAAATAAATGAGACATAATTTACTGATTTAAGTTTTTAATTTAAATTTAAATATAACTTTATATAAGAATTTTTTATTATAATAAAAATATTAAATGTTATTATTTTTTAAAAAATTTTACTGTAACGAAACTCCACGAAATGAATGGACCAATGTTATTACCCACTATCTTTCAAAAAAAACTAGTAACGAAACTCGACGAAATGAATGGACCAACGTTATTACGCACTATCTTTAAAAAAAAACTAGTGTTGTAGAATCCCCCAGTGGAACAAAATTGCTCAAAAATACAAAACATGCATTTTTATTTTGTGTTCTTTTATTTTTTTCTTCTTTCATCTGAACTGTGTAAAGTCTAGGTTCAAACCCAGATCTGTCTGAAGAAACCAGACGACCGACTGGCTACTTCGCCGTCGCCGAGAGGCAAGAAACCCAAACCCCCAACCAACGGACAGGCGCCGCGAAAACGGTGTGATCTCCCCTCTTGCCAACCACCAACAACCTTCTTCACGTGCCACCACCTTCGACGACTCCATGTCCTCCTTCCCATCCTTTAATGGTGGAGCGATCTCCCTATCCCCCTTCCCATCGCGGCACTATTTCTGTTGTGCGTAAACGACAAGAGGTCCGCCACCGTTTAAGCTTTTCTTTTTTAGGATTTTGATTCAAAGATTTGTAAAGTTGAAGTATGAATGGGATTTGGCTTTCGTTTTTAAGAAGTTTCTTGCCCATTTCGATTCAAATTCTCATTTCTTCACATTTGGGTAAATTTTTGTTTGTTTCTTTTGAATTTAGTCCAAGTTCCATCTGATTCGTGCTGCTGCTGCTTCTTTTTCCTTTTTTTCCAGGTTTTGGTTGCAGCAAACACGATTCACCAGACACAAACATAATAATAGACCACCCTAACTAACAGAAAAAAGTGAGAACAAAAGTCATCGTTCGGTTCGTTTATTTAAATTTTTAATTACAGTTAAAATGTGATTTTATGTGATAATTTTTTATTATTAAAAAAAGTTTAATGTGATTTTTTATGAGAACTTTTAACTGCAGCAAAATTATAATTGAAAACTTGAATATGTGAAATAAATAGGACTTAAAAAAGATTTAGCCTTGTTCGCTTTACATATTCGAGTTGAGATGTGACATTTTATGAAAGTTTTTAACTATAATGTTATATATAATATACGGGTAATTTTATCAATATGAAAATATTTGTGTTCCATTTCATAATATTTCTAAAATTACAATCAAATAAATTAATCAATTTTCTTTTTCATTCCATTACCATTATCATTCTCATTATTATTATCATTCTCATTATTATTATCATTCTCCCACTGCAACTAAAAGTACTTTAAAAATTTAAAATTAAAAACTCAAATCGGTGAAATGAATGAGATTTAATCCAAGTTAAGTTCAATGCTTGGAACCTGCTCAGTATAACGTCACAACCAGATTTGATGTTGTGGAGAGTCCAGGGGTAGTCGTCCAAAGGCCTGGAGATCCCAGATATAGCTATAGAGGAATCACTCTCAATAGCAAGGCCTTTGATTTGATTTTCAATTGAGATATCGTTTATCTTACCGATTTGAGTTTTTAATTTTATATTTTTACAGTTAAAAATTCTCAAAAAATGTCACATTTAATTTTTTTTTACAGTTAAAAGTTTTTAAAAAATATTATATTTCAACTTGAATTAAAAACTTAAATTTACGAAGCGAATGAGACCTAAATAATTTTTCTTATTTATTTACATAGTTTTTGAGTTGGGGTAATTTTTGAAACTCAAAACATGGATGGTGATTTTTAGGGGACGTTTAGTTGGGGGATTCAAACCATGTGATTTGAACTATTTTCGATTTACGTAAATTTTTTATGAAAAAAAATACTGTAACGAACTACGAATCATGATTCGAATCAGGGAACGAATCCCTCTAATGAAAAACTAAAACTGATGGGTTGCTTAACTTGCATTAATGGCACGACACGTATAAAGAAGATGCGCCACATGTTGATTCCCATCTGGTAAAAGAAACCCAAATAATATTATGTGTTCGGGTGTACTGTTAGATGATATAACCACAGGGAACGCACCAATAAATGCCAAGTCAAACAGAATTGTACGGGGACTACATGTAGAGCAAAATAAGGAGGTGTACTAAAGAAATTCCCATTTTATAAATAACAAACAATAGTATTATTAAACCAGTAAAGGTTACAAGGCAAGCAAATGTCTCACAACAAACAAATTTGTATAATTCACAAGGAATGAAAAAAATACAGATGCCAAATACACCATTTTTGGGCTTGCTGTGTTGAAATTAGGTTTTTTTTTTTTTTTCCCCTCCTCAGATGAAAGAAAAATGGACCGCTGGATTTGGTTCTTTTTTATTAGCCGTTATTAAATGGGATAGTTTGACATTTCACAAGCAAATTAACAAAGTTTTAAGTGTGTTGACCAGGAAGTCTCACTGTAATAAGTCATTAAAATGATTAGTATGTAATTTTGTAACAGTAATATAAACGTGACTGTTATTATGATAGTTACTATTAATTTTTGTTAATTCTTAAGATACTTCAAAACAAATTCATATATTTCAACTCCTCACGAAAGTGTAATTTGTGGTTATGCAAATATCTTGCTTACGTCCAGTATTTATTGATAGTAATAAAAATCTTCAATAAAAACAATATTTAAAAGTTTGCGATGATTTTTGGAGTGATAGGTTGTAACGCCGAGGATGGAACACTGACATTTTTATTTCTACGAGATATATTAATAGTTATGGATCATTTGATTGGAATATAACAGTGACAGAATCTAAGTAAGAACAAGTGAAGGCACGTGTCCCAACTAACTCCTTGTCTATTTTTTTCTTTTAAATTCTGCCACATTACAAACTGGTTAGTTGAAAGATTTAAATTATGTGATTTAAATTATTTTTAATTTATGTGAATTTTTTATGAAAAAAAATATTGTAACGAATCATGAATCATGATTCAAATCGGAGAACGAATCTCTCTACCAAACATCTTTAACTTTTCACATTATTATATATACTAAAAAAAGCTCGGGATTATTGTTCATCTACACTCAATTTACTATGCATAGTATAGTGGTGCAACGGTTTTGCCCTTTTTTTTTGCTCTTCCCCGTTTATGGTGATGGATTTTTAGGTCCTTTTACTGTTCAAAGAACGGTGTACTTCCATTTTTGCTCTTTATTTTTTACGCCTTTTCGTTAACTCCAGCTGGTTTTCTTCTCTTCTTCCAGACCCTTCTTCGGACGCGTGTCCGCCGTTCCGTTTTCTCATTTGCAAAATATGTTTCTCAACTTTCTACTTTTCCTGCGTTTTGTTCCTCTTCATTTTCAAACTTTTTTCTTCATTTTTATTCTTCTGCTCTCTTCTTCGATTTTCTGGTATTTTATCTTCTGTTTTTAGTTTTCTATATCTTTCCTTCGTTTTTCTTCTGTTACTGCTTTCTGGAAACCATTTGTTTCCTTTTTCCGGTGTGTTGTCGTTGTTCTTCTACTTTATTTACTATTAGTTTTTGGTTTTTCACTTTTATTTGGGGCTTTCTACTTTTCTTCGGTTTTGTTTCTCTTCATTTTTCAAAATTTTTTCCTCATTTTTCTTCTTCTGCTGTGTTTTGGAACGGATCTTATGTTTTTCTTCTGGGTTTTCTCCTTCTTTCTTCTTCAAACCAGCTATTTTTTTCTGTTGCGTTTTAGACCACATCTATCTTAATCCTTTTTTTTCTGGGTTTTCATCTTTTGGTCTTCTATTTATTATGTCGATGTTGTTCTTCTGCAATTTTTTGCCTCCTGAGTTGATTTCCTCTTTTTTTTTTTCATTCGTATACTTCCTGTACTTCTGGGTTGGTCTTCTGGATTTTTTTTTCATTTCTATACTTCCTGTACTTATGTTTGCATTTGTGGTTTTTAGTTTTTCTTTGGATCTCATGTTTTGTTTATCTCTATTTTTGAAATTTTTTTCGCCCTTCTCTTTTTTTTGTTGTGCTTTGCAACAGATCTTCCTTAATCTAAGACATTTTTTGTTTTCTCATTATTTCATTTTCATGCTTTATTTTGCTAAAAAAAAAAAACATTCCCGTATTTTTTTTATTCTTCTTTCGGCCTTATTTTTTTTACTTTGGTTTTTATGTTTGCTTTGATTTTATTTGAGATTTCCTTCTGTGACTAACATATTTTTTTATAGGGACTTTTGCAATTAATTGCAGATTTACTATTGCATGTCTCTCTGTTATTTATTTTGTTTTTGCTTTGCATGTTTGTATGATGACGAGGTATGAAAAAATTAAATGTCTCTATTTTAATTCCTTTCTTTGATGGTCTAATGTTTTAGACTCCTTTTTGTTGAGGTAAACATTGAATTATTTTTTTTCTATTCCAATATTTGTTCACGATGTTCATCGGTTTGTTTTGGACGTGGTTTTTACTTTGCTATAGTGTTTACATTTTCTTTGGACACATTATTCCTCTCTTGTAATATATATGTTATTTTTTACTGTCTTTTGATTATTGATTCTGTTTCCGTTTGGTTTGC